GGTTTAATATAAAACGTAGATAGGACATGGAAATGGACACTATTCTATTTCAGTAGCGACAGAGTTCCTTAAGTAAAAACTCAGATAAACGGCACGACAATAGTGTAGTAGCGCACGATTTTAGGACTGAAACCTGATTTTAGCTTTTGCCTCTAGATTAAATTGTCGTATAGTAACTTTATTTCGCACGGTTCCATGATAGCTTTAAAACCATTCGAAATTCTTATAGTTGTTAAAGGAAACCCTTCCTCGGAAATTACAAGTAAGCAAAAGACATAGCAGAGAAAAAATTATCGCAAGCATCCAGACAATAAATTTGCTTATAAGCTAAGTAGCGAATACAACCACTAAAACAAAAACACTATATATATATATGGGGCGTTCCACGCCAAATCGGACGGTTCGAAAAATTTTAATTTTCGATTTCCTTAATTTTTTTATATTTTTTAGTACCCCTCAAAAAAACCTTTCTGGTAAATTTTCAGATTTTTTTGATTACTTGTTCAAAAGATATAAAATTTTCAAAAAAACGCTCTNACTTAATGCACAATGGAATTTTTACGGAAAAGAAATTGCAAATTGTTTCGAATATGCTCTAACAAAAATGTTTTAAAGGAACAATAAAACATTAATTTTTAGCATAACAGCGGTTTTTGAAATACTAACGCTTGCATTTGCTTACTGTCCTGATTACAATGCAATATCCAGCGCTGAATTAACTATTTATAAATCATGACGTATTGCTCTCCAATATACTCGTAATAATAACAAATCTAAAATCGATTCCTTATTCCCGGCTAAGTTGGGTTGGCCGACATTAATCACAGACCACTTTCTTTTATGAAAATCTAGTCTAGTTTTCGTTCGTAAATCCTAAAGCTTTTAAGGCGTATGTAGCCGTCGTTTTCCCGAGTTCATATTGCTATTTTACTTACAAAAAAAACTGTATGGACCAAAACAACATCAATATACCAAAAATCCCGAAGCAGCTATTAAAATCTCGCAATCTTAAAAAGGCGCCATTGAAGGCGTGCGCGACACTTAGTATAGTCGAATGTTTTTATGTGTGTCAGTTATGCCGTAGGTCGTAATTTCATATTTTAACCAAGACCTTGTTAGGCAATCCAGGTAAAGGTGGAATCAACCCACAACCGCGACGTATGTGTGTGTCGATAATCCAGTACGTTTATTCACTTCGGTTTAATCAAATTATTCCATAACAGATATTGCTAACTTAATTATGTCTCCGAAAACGTAGTGCTTCGCAAGCAAAGGTGATTTGTTGAAACAAAAATTAATACGTACTTTTATTTTAATATGTACGAGGTCTGTTAAAAAAATAACCGAACTTTTTGAAATACGCGCTAATGGAGATATTTAGTGATATGGTTTTTGATATGCTACAGTTTTTATCTGCAACTTTTTTATGACACAATCCTGTCAAACTATCGGAGAGGTTCGGGTCTCTTTGGGACACTCTGTATATTAATAAAGAATGGAAATGAAGAAGAAAGGTAATGAGAGCGAGCACTTTGTTTTACTATACAAAATTCGTATTTTGTTCAGTTGAAATTTAAAAAAATTGCTGAAACAGGTCAATTAGTAAATAGAAATTGTTACCCTTGTGCAATATTTTCAATTTTCTTAAGCCATGTTTTACAGATAATTTTTTTTAATAGGGCGCTGTATATTTTATAGTATAAATAGATAGCCGTCCGATTAAAAAAAAATGTCAGTAATGTGACCTATAACATTGACTGTAGAAATTAAACATAGATTATAATAGTGACTCAATTATTTCATGCAGATTGATTTAAATACTAAAAAAGTTTCCGAATTATTTTTCAATAATTTTCAAAATTGATAAATGTGAGTTTTCCATTTTTATTTTAGAAATAAGAAAGGGTCCAGTTTCTCACAATTCTTAAATTTAACAGTTTTTAAGAAAGGTAGAACTTAAGAAATAATTCAAAAAATCAAATAGTCTATATCTGTAAAAATTAATAATAATTAAATAGGTTAATAAAATAAAACACAATTTGACTTCTATAAAATTAAAATTAAACATAATCTGACATATTTTTAGAAAAATTCTTAAATTTAACAGTTTTTAAGAAAGGTAGAACTTAAGAAATAATTCAAAAAATCAAATAGTCTATATTTGTAAAAATTAATAATAATTAAATAGGTTAATAAAATAAAACATAATTTGACTTCTATAAAATTAAAATTAAACATAATCTGACATATTTTTAGAAAAATTGTATTATATTGTAGCCTTGTAAGACCTGAAAATGAGGTGTAAAGTTTGACCTCGAACCCGGTAGACTTTTTAAAAATAAAAGGATTGTGAGAAATTGGACCCTTTCCTATTTCTAAAATATGTTACAATGGAAAACTCACATTTATTAATTTTGAACTTAAAGATTGTTATAACTATATTCGCAAGCTTAGATGCGCACAACATGCTGATTTGATGTTTTGGCTATTTTTAATGTATTCGACTGCATTCATTATTCTTATCAATTTCCGTTGTATATAAATCAATTATTTTAAATGCCTCCATACAAAATAACCCAGGAAGTCAGGTGATCAGGCAGTCTATAGCATGCTACCAATCTATTTCCCAGTAAATAACATCACATCCAATATGTGGAGGTGACCCATTATGCTGATACCGCATACGATTGTAAGATAAATCAAGTGGAAAATTTTTCAGGAATTTTGTAATATCGTTTCCAAAAAAAATTAAGTACACTTTGAATGACATCAATCGGAAGTAGTTTTCCATTAAAGACTTCGCCCTACATTAATATACCTACAGCCTAAGTTTGGAACAAAATTCATAACTTTTATACTGTGATTTTTAAAAAAAGCTGAGACAAGTCGATTTTGTTCTCGGCACGGGCATCATTTAAGATGATTTAATTGTATACAGGGTGACCCAGAAAAGCTGAACGGCCAATAAATTTGTTTTTTTCATATAGAACACTCTGTATATTTTTTCATATTCCGATAAAGCTTTCTCTTACGAATACAGTGATGTAAGATTTGAAGAGTCTATCTCAAATAACAAGCGAGATATTGCGAGAAAATGACATTTATTTCAAAAAATTGTTTAATGTCATTTTTCATCAAAGAAATTGCACTTGGAAACGAAACAAATGCAAATAATTAACGAAAAAAAAAACGAAAAATGTTTAGCAATAAAAATTAGGATTCTTTTTGTTGGCACTCATGTCACTGATAAAAATTATTAAATTTTGGTTTTTGGTCGTTGCTTAGAAACAAAAACACCACTATTGTAGCGTGAAATTTTCACAAATTAGTATGTTATTATAACCTTAATAAATTTTGCAAATTTATCATTGAACTTTTTGGAGCTTATAAGGAATGCCGCATTTAATTGAATGTGAAAGGATAGGATGATGGTTGGATATGGTGATAAGCTACGAACCCATGCGGAAGCACAGGGTGTTCCATAAAAGAAAAACAAATTTATTGGCTGTTCAACTTTTATGGGTCACCCTGTATACAACTGAATCATCTTAAAAGATGCCTCTCCCGAGAATAAAATTGACTTGTCTCGGCGTTTTTTTAAAGATAACTCAGTATACAAGTTATGAATTTTGTTTAAAATTTTATCACGCTGTATTCAAAACCTTCGTGGAAATCTTCTTATAAAAGAGGATTTTTTAATGACCATACTTGTTCATTATGGCTGTTATTTATATCATCCCAAATTTTCATTTTGTTCATGCTGTTGAGGCAGCCTTTGACAAAATGCGAGCCGTGAAGTGTTACCTCCTGGTTGAATATTTTCTACATTTTGTTTATGAAATGGATGTAAAACTTCTCTGTTTAATATTCTCTAAACAAAACTATATTATATTTTCACAGGGGCAGCAATCTGCCTGGTATGGTTCCTGGATTTTCAAGCACACGATCTATTACTTCTTCATCTTCAACATCATGATTACCAATTCTAAACTCTTGCAGCCTCTGAAAAGCATCTGAAAACACACCACAGAAAGGAATTGTTAAGGAATTTCTTGTATTCTCCACAATGCGTTCATCTTCATCTTCATCTTCATCTAGTGGTTGGTCCTAATAAGTCCCATAGCACTGCGGCCTAATTAGGCCTATTGTGCGTCCCACTACTAGTCCTATTCAGCAAGTAGATTTATCCTTTTTACAAAGTCCAAAAGCTTCCTTGCTGACACTTCTCTCAGTTCCTTGGGTTCCAAATAGGGTCGCCCAAGGAGCGCCATTCTGCTACGTGCAAATCCCGGGCATTCGCCCAGGATATGCAGAGAAGTTTCATCCGCCGATTCACATCCTCGGCAGACCGGACTGTCTACAAGCTTTAGCCTATGTAGATGTTTCCTAAAGTGACAGTGTCCCGTTATGAGTCCTGTCACTCTCCTGAGCCGGATTCTGTTCAAGCTCAGTAGATCATTCGCTCTTTCCTTCGAAGGATACTCCATAAGCTCCTTAGAATGCGTTGCTGTCACACAAAAATAATAACTTCGTATTCTTCCTTAGAAAACTGCAAGTTTAACAAACCAACCAAACCAACATAGCAACTTTGAGGTTTAATAACCTAGAAAATAATTTTGTTCTGTCACTTCACTCATGATGCACTTTTTCTCATCATTGACTAAGATTGTTCACAATGTTCACATGCAGAAACTTTGAATTTTAATTACTCGGAAACAAAGACCTACCGGCAACAAGACCCTATATATTTTAATTTTATGCATTAACTACTTATCATGTAACTGGGCATTAAGCACATTGAAAATAAGTAAATAAATAAGGCAATACTTACATTTGATAAAATTATTAGTTATTAATATCTTACTTCATGTTGAAAAATACCACAGCCTGAGAACATCCCATAGATGTATTCAACCATTGTGTTTAATAAGTTTTCAGCACTGTTATAAATATAAATTGCATTGTGTTCCGTGCCTAAACACTGTTTCTGTTCTTTTCAGGGGCGACAGGGTCGTAGCCTGCAGGGTGAGTCGAGCGCAGAACCCATCGTTCGGCCAACAGCGCAGTTTCCTACGATGCCGACAATCCACACGATTTCTACGTGCGGTCGGTTAGATGTAAGGACTATAATTTAGATAATTCTAACAGTGGAATATAAAGTATCTTCCTTTAAGTGCGGATGTGCATCTTTTACAAGGGCAACTCTTATAAAGTGGTTTAAAATTTACAAATCTACCCGCAAAAATTTAGTGGTAGTAATTCCTTGCCGCCGTAACATGAATTGTCACGGATATAGGATGTGCAATTTAATGGACCAAGAGATCGAACTGTAACTAAAAATAGTAATTGTTTCAATCCCTCACATTACATTTCTCTGGTTCATTCAATTTGGAACAACATATGTTACTAATAGATTTTCTTCTAGATGTCTCACTGGAATCAAGCTTACATGAGTTAATTTTATGTAAGATCACTATTATTAATTAAAGGTTATTTTTCGGTGGAAAATGTAAGCTTCGTTCTAATCACGTCAAATCACTTAATTGAAACTAAAAAATTAGCATCTAAAAACATTGTGTGAGAGACAATATATAATTCTATCACTAATCTAATACCAGATACCTTAGACGTATAAATGTGAAGATGTAGCCTAACGTAGAGAGTATTTAGAGTAATTTCTTTGGCAAGGACTAATCTGCGCCGTTTATACATGTTTTGGAACGTTAAAAGGTCTCTTTGACGCGTTGTTTGTGACGTCACACAGCTCAGAACTGCCGAAAAAGTAAGATAGATGGAGTTGTATTGAAGCAAATTTATTTTTTTATCAACAATCACTACGGATGTAAGTTTTGTACACAGAAGCCATTCGTGTAGGTAAGAGACATTATATAATACACAGACCTAAATGTTGTTGTCAATATCATTCCAGTCTATCACGAAATTGCTATTGGAGATTGCTTAAGAGTGTAAGGAAACATACGCACACAGCCAATAGACAAATACGATTGACACTAATGTAATGTTAGATAAATATATCCTAGGACAAAATCACTTCTATTTGTATAGCACTATGGAGTCGTATAAGACTTTAATTTCTAGACTATTGATAATAAAGCGAATTTTAAATATGTCTATCCACGACCGAGTCTTATATATGTATAGAACTATAAAGTAAGCTAATGTAAGCGTAATAATCTATGAACAACTTTCAGTAAGGTTTAGTTTACTTCAAACTCAGTTTATATAATATAGGGCATTCCAAACTCCTTTTGGGCGCAAATTATATATTCTATAATAAATAAATGGATCTAAAATAAAAAAAATTCTTCACTTCCCCATTTTGTTTGAAAATACGAAACAGAAAGAAATAATTTTTCTTTGGACTGCTAATAACTGGTAGGAATATGTCTTTATAGTTAAAAAAATGTTGATGTGTCAGTTCATAAATCGAAAAACGCGGAAAACGAATAGGTCATACTTGAAGAGTAGCTTGGGTACCTAGATACAATTTTGCTTCTTTGAAAACTTGCGGACCTTCAAATATATCTCTTTTCATTTTTTTAATACAACTGCCTCACTTTATAAGATATTGCAATGACGCAAAATTATGCTTATTTTTATTTGAAATGTAGAGGTCATTAAGATTATTTTTCGTCTTCTCCCATATTTTTTTTTAGTCGTAAATACATTAAGAAAATGCATTTATGTGCAAGTAAATTTCTTAAACACAGTAAATGCTGTTTCACCCAACTGGGTCGGTTTAAATCGTATAAAATATTTGACGTTGCTAAAATTCAAGAAAAAAGACGAAGTTAGACTCAAAATACACAACTGACAAGACTGGCAACTGAAGTAGAAAATTGAAATCTATTTTTCTCTGAAACGAAGTATACCTACTTCAAAAAAATAACTTCTCAGAATTTCTACCAACAAATATTATAATTAATAAAAAAATGTTTCGGATGTTCTTAAAAAGTGATGGAGGGCAGTAACTTTTTAGAGGGCCAAAATTATTGTAACTTGATCTAAATCGCATTATTTTTATCCAAGAAAGCAACTCTTGAAGTATGGACCATTCGTTTCCGGACATCCTGTATGTGCATGGTAAGAGAACCTATTCCCTAAATTAGGAATATTTTCCTGATAATGATCTTTTTAAAGGAAACTCTTTTTTTTGCACATTTATTTATAACTTTGTCACGTATTATGGTGCTCATTTCGTGCATTTCAGCTTTGGTGTGCAGAACATAGAAGTAAATAATCATCTTATTCGACTATAATACTTTGTGGAAGTTAACTTTGCTGTAAAGTTGTTCACAACGACTAACTCCAAACTTTAATCTAACAATTTCGTACCATTTTTTACTATAGCAACCTGAGTAAATTTGTACACATATCTTTTAGGAAGTTTAGTCTGAATTATTAGGATGCTTTATACGCAAATAGAGAAGCTTATTTTAAAAAATGGATCGCTATCAAGAACTTGTGAGCAAATTAACACTTTTTAGCAATAATCTAAAAATTTCTTACTAATAATTTGAACAGTACATATCTATTTGTAAGTGTAAAACATATCACATACAGTTCCTTGTATTAATAAAGAGATAATTTGATGCAATATGGAAATTTCTAGGTAACATCATTAATAATTTACTCACAAGGTACTTAAACTTTTGTGTAAAAAAATCGTGTGCTAAGAGTATCATGCAACCGTTTAGTGACATATAGAGTATATAGAACTCCATTTTCTGGGCTTGAAAATATCTTGTACCCACACATATCACGTTATAGAAAAAATTGCTATTAATTTCATTACATTTGTGGGACTGTGCAACATGTGCAATGTATTTAGTAGCATTTAGCTTGGTGTTCAAGGTTTGTCCAAATGCAAAGTTGTTTTGATGTAATGTGGCATAAATCACGTTTTTAGTTATTCATTAGAATCATTGTTATACTAAAGAAACAATAGATGATGAATGAGTTTTATATGTGACGTTTAGTATAAAAATGATCGAATAAGTTCGAAACTGTTGACCAAGTGTTAGAAAATTTTACAGTCCTTAGCAAATTACTAAATGAAGTGTCCGTGTGTGTTCTTAATGGAGTACAGAAAATGTTTATTTAATAAAAAAATATATTAAACCTAGTTTTTTTATTTGACTGCGAATTAGGTACTCGCGAAAGTTATAGGAAAATTATAACTATCTTGAATATTTTCCACAGCATAGTCGGTCGAAAAATTGTTGAGTTCAAAAGTATGAAATTTTTAGAAACATATTTTATTAAATAAGAATATACAGGGTGTTTGTAAATAAGTGCGAAATATTTTAGGGGGTGGTTGCTGAAGTTATTTTGTGAAAAAAAGTTCATATAAACGTAGGTCGAAATATGCTTCGTTTCCGAAATACACAGTGTTTAAATTTTAATTTTTTATTTATTTTTGTTAATTATTTCAGTTTTAAAGATATTGACTCGAAATTTGAAAAACGGTTTGGAGGGATAAATATGCATTTTTTAGGGTGATCCGAATATTTCTACTTGCACCAGTGGCGTTCGTGAGAGAATACCACAACGTTTTTTTTAATAAAAAAGCGTACGCCATTGACTTTTTCCCGTTTTGATATTTTTTTTAGAAATCCGCCATCAATTTTGAATGAAATTGGTCTCTTCATTTTTTTTCGTAGAATGTGCATTCTAAAGGTGCGGTTTCGGTGGTGCGTCTGGCGACTGCGGCTTGCGACTGCGACTGAGCGCAGCTGCTAGTCGCGCGGCGTGGGTGTTTACAGTGGAGCGTCTAGAAAAGCGCGACTCACTTATTAGTCTACGTCCGGTGGTTAATATAATAGGTTCTCATTATTTTATTTATTTCTTTATTTCTTTTAAATAGGGAAAATGAATGAGAAAGATCTTACATATCTGATTTTATTAGAAGAAGAAGATTATGAAGAACAGTTGTTAAAACAAATCTTATTGCACAAGAGGTGTGACGCCCATAATATATACAAACAACGTAAGAGGGAAGGATATTTCAATCTCCTTATTAATGCTCATTTAAAAGAAGATGAAATAAAGTTTAGGCATGTTTTCGTCAATTAAATCCTAACAGTTTGGGGAGTACTTCATAATTAAAAAGAAAGAGATATTTTGGAAGTTCTACTAATATTTCATCTTCATGTGCAGAAAAACGCACCATTTCTCCACTGCGACTGCGGCTAGACTGGTCCCATAGGCAGTCGAATCGCCGACGTCGCGACTCGATCGCCAGCATTCGCAGCTTGAACGCCTCACAGTTGCCAGCAGTAATTTGCGACTAGTCGCAGTCGCTAGTCGCAGTCGCTAGTCGCAGTCGCCAGACGCACTACCGAAACCGCACCTTAAGCAACCCGTTTTCTTAAGGAAAAAATGTGTATTTGTATGTGTATGTGTATTTTTAATTTTTATTGATACATTATCAAGTAGGTGATGTCAATATTTCTAAATAAAATGCAACCATCAAATTTCGAATCAATATTTTTAAAATTCTTTGACATAATTAATAAAAATAAATAAAACATTAAAATTGTTTTTTCACAAAATAACTTCGAAAACCACCCTATTTACAAACATAAATAAATTTTTTTATATTTATTAAAGAAATTAATTCCCTTTTAATTCCTAAAAAAAACAATATGGAGCCTCATAAATGTTATATATTTTTTAATGCAACAGTTCGTGTTTTTAAAATGTTTGTTTGTAAGTTTCTGACTTTAGCAATATAAACTGTGGCCCACTGAGAGCCTAGACAGAAAGAAATCCTTTTAGGACGCACATTCTAGTTATTTTTTATGTATAGTGGCCTTCTAAATATACTTATTGAAACAATTAAGGTGGTCTAGTTGGTAATCCACAGCTTGCTGTGATTTTGTAGAAGCTATTTTGGAAAAAATATTTGAAAAAAAAACGAAATTTTGGAAATCCGTTTATGTTTTCTTTCAACCTTGTTTGAGGTGATATTGAAAAAAAGAACACTTTCTCATGGCAACTTTTTGCCCTCTATCGAATGAGATAATCATTTTTTATATATAAGGTTTCGTCTCTTCAGGGCCATTATCAACTTCATTTTTTTAAATACGAACCTGGAAATTTTATTTCATTTTTTGCAAGCCTTCATGTCACGCAATACTGTACTACCTCAACCCCAACCAGATTCAGACGTTTTGTCTCGAAGAATTCATCTTCAATGTAGTCGTTCCAAATTTATCTAATTTTTTTATTTATTTATTTCTATGTTTTTAAATTATCTTACACTCTAAATGTCGTTAGACCCGGTAAAATCCACCTAGTTATTTAAACTATTACCATCACACGTTACAATAAAACATTATAAGAGTTTTAATCCCGTGCTCATAGTTATTTCTAGATTTCTCAAGTGCTCAAAATTCAAACAAATTTCGATCTCGATTTCGATCATGTTAGCCTTGATTTTTTAGAGGCATAATGTTGGTCCCCTGTACGCAACTTTGCCCCCATTTAAGCTACTTCGTATCTCTTACCGTTTCCGAGATCGCTGTAGTGAGAAGCGAATTTATAACAGCCTGTATAGTATATATTTTTTGTGAAAATTTAAAAATTTTTTTATCTATCCGTTCCGTTTCACTTAAAAAATCTAGTTGACATGACAAGAGTGCATTTAAATATTCAATGTGGATATGGATTCCCAAAATGTCTTATCTAGAGAAAACTATTGCAGATTTCGAAAATGTGAAAAATACAGGGTTTCATTGACAAAAAAACATAACTGCATCTAGAAGTTACATATGCACTGTTCAGTGTTTTTTTTTCTAAAAATTTATTTGTGAAACTTTAAAAAGCCCATAAAACTTTCATGAAAACTTTTTCGATGGTGGTGACTTACCTATTTGCTAATTGTGTTTTTCCAACGTTTTAATTATCTCCATATTTGAATTTACAAAGCCTATATGGATGTCGCCTTGAATTAATTGAAGAAAGTTGCCTTTTAAGACTCCATACCAATCGCGGCGTCAAGCCCGAACCTAACTGTAGCCGAGAGCCGCAGAATGCATAATATTCCGATAATATCACCGCTCCATGCCGCAAATAAAAACAAAGCTCGCAATTTCAGTAATTGTTGCTCGGCTTACTCACGCATGATTCAGTCGAACTTCGAGTAAGCTCGCAAGTACCGTAGTGCGAGCACGTACCGCCAGGCGGAGCGCGCGGTAAAAACAAGAAAAACGGGCGGGCTTTCAAGTTATTTCAGTCTTCAAGTATACCTCAACATCCACAACGTGCTAGGTAAAGTCTACTTACCTCAGTCTTCAAGACTTCGACGTAGGGTTTGTATCTGTGCAGTCGATGGGCTTGCGACCACGTGCTTAGTGCCAGGGACAGTACTTCGCGCTGCCTCTTTGAACATTCAAAAGTCGGGAAGCGCGGATGTTCGCGTCATGTGAGAATTTTGGTGTTTTTTTGAAAGTGAAATTTGTGTGATTTTTGTACGCGGAGTGAGGAACCGTTCTGATGCAGTGCAAAATGCGCCTGAGACGGCCCTTTTACCTTTTGCTCTTGCTTATTTCCGGCTTCGTTGCGAGTTCCGCAAAAGTGAGGCATCACGCCACAGGGAAACAAGGTAAGAATTGGTTGTAAGGCAATGCACACGATTAATTTTACAGGATTTTCATATTTCGTATAATCTTAGTAGCACCCTCAGTACCTACCTTTTTAGAGGAGATGAGGGAGGTCAAACCTCTTCGATGAATTTAAGGATTTAATTTTACCTTTTTTTCTTATCATTTATTTTCATTTTAATTTTATACAGGGTGTCCCGTTCATGTTTCAAAAAAACTTGTGTGCAAGTTCCCCATGGGAAAATAATAGGGGTAGTTCAGGTGAAGTTTTTTTCTTCGACGCCCTGTTTTCGAGATACGGTGTGTTGAAGTTATTACTTTGCAAGTGGTTTTCCTTAATTATCTTTAAATCGGCTAAAGATAAAAATATCAAAATTAAGTAATTAAGTAAACATCAACTGCGTGCGTTAAGAATAATGTTCAAACGGTTTCTTTCTGAAAAGCAGTGTCGCCGATACAGATAATTGAAAGGGTACAATCGAAGAAAAAATATGATAAAAGTAAAAATTTATTACATTTGTAAACGGTTCTGTAAACTCTAAGGAATACTACAAAAAGAGGTACACTTGTCGAAATTCGGTAGCATGTACCATTTTCGAGAAAAAATTAAGTTGCATTTTTTTTGCTCACATATAACGGCACGAGTACATTAACAAAATATTAAATTGAAAGAGGACCTTTCCGTTGAATGAGCTGAAGACATTTAGCTACCAAGAGTATTTTTTAAGACTATAATTTTAATTTCTTATATATCACATAAAACAGTTAAATTGTAAAACAATTTATTAACTATAAAAAAATAAAATAAAATGTATTTTAAGTTTCAGTTTGTTGTAAACTAACATTTAAAAAAGTAAATAAAAATAAACAGATTATGGTAATTAATTACATGTCTATTATTAACTAATTCTAGATTTTGTAAACTACTACACTACCATTACTAAAATAAACAATTGTTGAATGGACTGAATTGTTGATGAACCTGAGTGCTTAAAAAAAAGTGATAAAAACAGAAAAATATTAGGAAACAAACTCGGAGACATACAGAACAAAACAGCTGCACAATTAAATAAATGTGCAAACTCGAAATACTACAGTAGATCTCGCAGTAGATACTATAATTGTCCCCCATTTCCTTCTACGCAACTTCATTTTTCTCGAAAATGGTACATGCTACCGAATTTCTAGGCCAATCATTATAGCTTTTTTTTCGGGAAAAAAAATACTATTAGAAGTTTTTCTGCGGAATATTGTTCAGAAACGTGTTATAAACAAAATATCAAAAAATCAACTCGAGACTAGTTGGGAAACTTTGTTAAAACAATGGTCAAAATTATGAAAAAGTAGTTTTTCGACTGGCGTAAAAAAACTGTTATTCATAGAGAAAAAAAGGTTTATACAAAAAAGGTAGGTATTAAATAAATCTGTAAAATAAGACAAGTCCGATTAAATTCCGATAATTTGTTTATGCGCAAGAGCTCAAAAATGGTCGAAATTGTCCGCTTTTT